AAAACACATGATATTCGGACCCTTTTCAGGTGACCAGGGGGGGCGTTGGGAAAAAACATTTTGGCGCCCACAGGCCCCCAAGAAACGGGCCCAGCGTGGCGGTTCGCATTGGTGTGGCGAACAAAACCGCCGTCAGCAATTGCAGTTGGCGCCGCAATCTCTGCGTTCAGCTCCACGCGCCCATTGTAGCACGATAGTAGAACGGCGATCGCCAGCGCGCTGCCCCCCCCTTTCGCCCCCCCTCCCCGCCGGCGAAACGCAAGTCCGACGCCATTGCCATACAGTCCTCCTCCCTCCCTCCTCTCACCTCCCCCACACGAGCCAAAGAGGAGGGGGGGGGGGGCTTCAAGTCCCCCCCCCTTTCGCACCAAGGGAGGGAGGGGGGGGGAGCTTCCACCCCCCCCCCCCTCTCAAAGGGGGGGATGGCTCGCCCGGGCTCCACTAAAAGGAGGGAGGGGGGGGGTAGCTTGGAAGCCCCCACCCCCTTTTCCGGCTACGAAAAGAGTGGGAGGGGGGTGTCAGCTTCCGAAGCCCCCCCCCCCCTTTCAAAGGGAGGGGGTGGCTCACCCCGGCTCAATTAAAGTGAGGGAGGGGGGGGAGAGCTTGGAAGCCCCCCCCTTTTCGCTCCCCCCCCTTTTCCGGCCACGAAAAGGGGGGGAGGGGAGGGGGGTTTCCGAAACCCCCCCCCCTGCAGCAAGGAAGGGGGGAGGGGGGTAGCTTCAAGCTGGGGCCCCCCTTTCTAGTCTGTCGGGCCCCACGAGCGCAGTCTATCTAATATATTATGACATGGTATGCTAGTATGTGATCCGCCGATCCGGCGTGTGAGTTTCAAGGAGTCTCAGCTACAGCCTCGAGGCTGAGCCTCAGCCTCTGGGGGGGTTGCCGGGGTGGCTCTGCCGGGGAAGGGGGGATGGGGGGGGGGGCGAGTTTCCGGCGGATGCGGGGCGCTGCTTTTACAGAAGGCTCTAATCTCGAGGATGCGCTGGAAGGGTGGCCGCGGCCGCAAAAGTCTCTGAGGACGGTCTACGAAAGTCCCGAGACCCCGAAGGATCGCCCGAACACGCCCAAGATGGCCCCAAGACGGCCCAAGAGCCTTCCACGACGTCTGAAGAGGCCTCCAAGAGGCCTCCCACGATGGCCCCCAGAGGCAAAAATCGTTGATTCCCATTGTTTTTTTTCAATGTTTTTGGGGTTGTCGTTTTTTTTGCTTTCCGACGCTCCAAGACAGCCCAAGAGGCCCCCAAAACCGCTCGAAGACGGCCCAGGAGGCCCCCAGACAGTCCCAAGACGGCCCAAGAGGGCCCCAAGGCGGCCCAAGAGCCGCCCAAGACGGCCCAACAGGCCCCCAAGACGGCCCCAAGAGGACCCAAAAGAGGGACGAAAAGCGAAACAAAAATCTAGCCTTCCAGCCCACGAGGCCCCCAGGAGGCCCCAAGAGCCTCCAAGAGGGCCTCCGAAAGCCCCCAAGAAGCCCCCACGACGCCCTGACAGGCTCCTAAGATGGCTCAAAAAACGCCCCAAGAGGGCGTCCTTGCGCCGATAGGCTCGCCTCCACCGCTCGTACCACATCGTCCAGGCCACATGTTTCGTAACACGACTCCGTGCACGACGTATCGTGAGTTTCCAAAATTATCGGCATTCTGTATGGAATTGTCATGTCATTATTATTTCCCGTCCCCACGGTCACTGCAAGCACCCCGCCGTTGATAGAACCACTGTTGCGAGATGGCTCTATTGACCCAACTGCATTCCTACGCCCTTTCGAAGGTAACCCGAAAAGTTTGTGCGTTTGAGTGTGCGCCCATAATGTCTGCGTCTGGAGAATAACACCGAACGACCCGGATCGGCGGCACTGGCCGAAGGCCACTACAATATATCATGACATGGTATGCTAGTATGTGACGGTATACCATGCTGTAGTGCTATGATTTGTTCGGCGACGAAGTGCAATGCTATGGGATGTTCTGCCAAGGTGTCTGGTGTTGCACTCGGTTATGCTATGCTATGTTGTGGTATGTCGCCTTCTGTTGTACCATGATATGATATGATGGGTTTTGTGATGTTATGTCATGCTATTTGTTGTCATAGTTTTGCTATGTGATGTTCTGTCATGTTATGGCATGATCGTGTTATGTTCTGTTACACTATGGTGTGACATGTTGTGCTCTGGCGTGTTTGCCGCTATGCTCTGCTGTCGTCTTGTGATAGGTTTGGTGAGGCTGTGTCATGGCATGATATGTTGTGTGAATGTGTCTTATGCTATGCTCGGTTGTGATATATGATGTTGTGGTATGTCGTTTTCTGTTATGTCATGTTCTGCTCTGGTATGCTCTGTGATATGCTGGCGTCCTTTGTTTTGTCATGATGTTCATATGTTATGTCCTGCCATGTTTTGTCATGCTCTTGCTCTGTTCTGTCATGTTCTGTTGTGTCATATTACGTTCTGTCGTGTTTGCCCCGTGCGCGAGGCGGGATACCCAGGATTCCCGGGACATTTTGGGGTCTGGCGGGGTCTGGCGGCCGCGGTATGCAGGGTGTGTTCTGTCGTGTTTGTCGAGGGCGCGAGGCGGGATAACCGGGACTCTCGGGACAACTTGGGGTCTGGCGGCCGCGGTATGCAGGGTGTCTTCTGTCGTGTTTGTCGAGGGCGCGAGGCGAGATAACCGGGACTCTCGGGACAACTTGGGGTTTGGCGGCCGCGGTATGCAGGGTGGGAGTGGTCAGGAGGTCTGTTCTTAAAACCTAACGACCCCAACCTGTCCGGTGGGGAACAACTGCAAATGTGCAACGCTTGCGCCACAAGATACAGGTGCGCGTTTCCTATTTGCAAGGAAACCGAAAAACACCACCAATACGATAACAAACTGTATGACAGAGGGAGGAGATTTTGACATCTCGGTGTCGCTGTGGACCGAGAGGGGTCAACCTCAAATCCAATTCACACTTAAGATAAAACAAAAGCCGCGAGACTGCGCCCACATCGTTTGGAGACGGGAGGCGCGGGCATGTATCAAGAAGGCGAACTCCATGTGGCAAAAAAAATCTCGTGACGTCCATGAAGCAAAAGGGTGGCGCAGCCCAACCAGGACAGGAGGCTGCCGATTACACTGGCGCACAAACCAGCGTCGGGGTTCAGCGTGAAAGATGGAGAAGATGACTTCGTTATGGTGGTGCTGCGAATCAAAGCCAAATCCTCACGTGCGCAGCCACGCCCGCGTTGACAAAAGGAAGAAGAGAAGGGGGAGAGCGCTCGACCAACTTTTCTTCGACGGCACATATCTTGCGCTCCGTGTCTTCGATCGTCGACTTCACTGAATTTCTTGACGAGGGAGTGGCGGCGGCGGTGGCAATGCCGAAACGAGACAGAGTCCAGCAAGGCATGTGGGTGCAGACCCGACTTGTCTGGCTGATGCTCTGAGAAGGGCCTGTGTTCAGAGCACGCTGCAGCACCGCTCAACGACGTGGTGTCGACCAGACCTAAAGGGTGGGCCACATTCATGTTCTGTGCACTTCAGCTTTGGCTTCGGCTTCAGCTGTGGGTTCACTGTGAGGCGCCTTCGGGCCAGCTCGCCCGAGTCGGTTTTCCGCTCGCATGGGTGCCTCCAGCCCCCCTCGTTGAGCTTCTTCTCCCGCACAGGCCGTGCCTCCTCCGTACATCCCCATGTTTTCCGCCTCCGACCTGGCCCTCGCATCTCGCCAACTGCACACCCGCAGCGCCCACAGTCATCCCACCCTCGCCCTCTTTTCGTCCCCTCGTCCCCCTTTATCTTCCTGAGGGGACAACACCTGGGAGGTCTTCGTAATAAACGAGAATCCGCTAAGCATGACTAAGCGGACTAACGACGGATTAAACGGACGACGCCGGATTAGGCCAGTTTTCGACCACGGATCTACTAGCGCCGATGCTGAATCAAACTTCCCAGGAGCTGCATCTTAATCCTCCTGCTCCTCCTGTTCCTCCTGCCCACCCTCCACATAATTCCTCTTCTCTCTGCCTCGTCCTCCACGCCCATGCCCCAACCTCAGCCTGCTCACGGATGTCCTGCTCATGGTTGCCTCTCTCCCCCTCCTCCTCCTCCTCCTCCTCCTCCTCCTCCTCCACCTCCTCCTCCTGCTGATCCTCCTCCTCCTCATCCTTATCTTTCGTCGTAATTCCTCTTCCTCCGTCTCATCAGCCCACTCCTGCCCATACAAGTGTGAATCAGCTTGCTCGGCATGATTATCCTCCTCGTCCTCGTGACTCACTTCCTCCTCCTTCTTCTGCCGCTGCCGCCAACTCCTCGTCTTCGGTCTACGTGGCCTGCCATTCCTCGGTATGTTGCCTCCTGGTGTCCGCGACCTGCCCTGCCGCCATCTCGGCCTCACCTACTTCTACCCTGCCTGCAGTGGCACCATCATGGGCGATCCTGCTAATGCTAGCACGGCTCGCAAAGCTGTGACGGCCAAGCGCGCGTTGGCTCTGACGTGATCCCGCTTGTCTCCACTCCACCCAACTCCTATTCTCCGTCTTCTGGCCATCATCACCCAAACAGAGGTTGCAAGAGTACGTCTCTTCTGTTATGTTCCTTCTGTCGTACGTTGATGCTCCAACTCGTCCCGCTCTTTCGCCTGATCCCACGCCCTGCTCCCCAGCTTTCGTTGCCCGCTGTGCGCAAGCTAGTTGCATGTATTTCCCCTCCTCCTCTTCCTCCAATCATGCACCTTGCGAGAGAGGGCACCAAGCTGGAATGATCCTTAAACAACGCGGGGGCTTGCCGCGAAAGCAGAAACGTCTCCTCGATTGAGCCACTTACGCCCGCGTTGCAACAAAGGGTACACATTCTTCTCGCCAGCATGGCGCAATCGCCATGTGCGCAAATGTCTTAAGTGATGAGCACGGGCCATATGATGAAGTGGTGCCGGCATATTTTCTCACTCGCCATTCGAAACATCGTGTTCGCAAGACCTGGCCAGCCATGACAGATGCATGGGCGTCCGCCCAAGAGTTAACTAGTGGCAGGTCAGACCTTACTGATGATCTCATGGGATCTGTTCCAATATGCGTTCCACCACTCGCGTTGAAGATACTTCCCAACTGCGCACTCTGGGCCGCTCTGCTCGCATGCGCAACGGAGAACCTCCAACATGGGTAAGGTTTGCCACACGTCGTTCGCCTGGACGATAGAGACACAGATGAGTGGGATCAGCGCAAGGCCCTGGACGAATCTTGCCCGAGATGCTGCCCCGTGCAGGCTGACATTGAAAAATTTGGTACTAACGCTTTCTGCTACAACGTCGTCGAATGGAGCCAGCTCCACGCGGTTCAGGGTATCCTTAATCTGCTCTGGCACGAGCCACAAGTAGAATAGCTCGGGCAATTCAAAGACAAACGCGAGCGCGACTGTATTCATAAGCAGATCTACGTATGAGTGCGTACAAGTCGCATACACAATCCCTACGGCGAGCATGTAGAAGAGGTTCACCAATCGCAACACCCAAACGCACCAACATGTAACACGATGCACGGGAGAAATATCGGAAATTGTGATGCGCTGTTTCCCAAAGAAGGCACTGTCCCCGTCCAGGTGGAGTTCGCCGGCCCTCCAATCTCGAATCCATTGCCACTTGTCTTGCATTTTGCTCCTGAGTACGTGCCACGACATGTCCGACCTCGGGATCCTGAGCGGGCTGAGTGCATCTTGATCCTCGCTTGAGGGGTAGTTCATGCAAAAATGCGTCATAGTAAACACAGACTCCAGCTCCTTGTTCAGCGTCACCAGCCACAACACAAGCATGATCGTCATGAATGCTCTGAACGTCAACGTATGCACAAGCCGAAAATTCGCCAACCCCTTGGGGTATCTCGACGTGTGAAATAGCTACCCATCCCCACATGGAGGGGCCCAGCCCGTCCTGTTTTGAGAAGGGGGGGTCTGGCCGCGTCCCCTAGGCCCCCCCAGCATTGTTCGGAGGGCCACCTGCTCCAGAAGCGCCTCGTGGCATTACAAGAACATCCCAGAAAGTCCTGGGATGCGTCCAGCATGCTCGAAACTTGTCATTGGGGCGCGCCTTGCCCTCTGGGGCACCGAGGGCTTTTCGGAAGCCCTCCAGGCTGGCTCAAAGACCCCCGAATTGCCCAAATCGATGTTTCGGAGGGCTTGATCTCCACTATCAAACCAAGGTGGCGAAAAGGGATCCAAGAAGCCCCCCAGACGGCCCTGCGAGGGGCGAAACAACATCTCGATCCCTATACTCCGACATCGGTTCAAGATCCCCCAGGAGGCCCACCAGAAGAAGCCCCAAGAGGCCGTCCAAAAGCCCCAAGAGGCGCACACAGTAAACCCAAACAAGCCGCCCATAGGCCTCCTGAGTGGCTCCCAGAAGATCAGAAGACCTCTGAGCGGCGGCCTTGGCCGAATGTCTAGACTGTTCCCCCACTGGTGCGCACATAAATATACACATGTGTGTGTAGGTAGACATGTATGAATGAGTGAAAGAATGTATGTATGTATGTATGCATGCATGCATGCATGCATGTATGTATGTATGTATGTATATACGTACGCATGCAGGTGTAAATCTATATGTGTATACATACATTCAGGTGAACGTATATATGTATACATGTGTATATATATATATATGTATATATACACATATACATATACATACATATATATAATTATATATATATATATATATATATATATATATATATGTAGTCCGCGTGCCGCTGGCCCTGCAGGTCGTACGTGACGGGCTGGATGCGAGCATCCACGGGCGCGGCCGCAGCCGCCGCGGCCCCACGGCCGCCATCGGCGGCAGCTGGCCCTGCAGCCGCGGGCGCCGCTACCAGCGGCGGCGGGGGGCCTGCCAGCGCCGGGGCGCCTGCCCCGGGCGCCGCTGGGCCGTCAGCGAGCGCGGCGGCCAGGCCAGCCACCCCAGCCGCCACGGCGGGCCCCCCGAACCCGGCGGCGGGCGCCGCGGGGGGTCGGCCACCGGCAATCCAGCGGGCGGCCCCACGCCACCAGCTGCGAGCGCCGCTGCCGCTGCGCCTCCGGCCGGCGCGATGCCAGCGGCGCCAGGCCGGGGGCGGGCACCGCCTGCAGCGCCAGGTTGGGCACCACCGTGTCCTCAGCGCCGAGGGCGACTCCCATCCTTGCAGCTCCCGCGGCCAGCACCTGCGCGACCCGCGCGGGCGCGGGGACGCCCCTGAAGCCGTGCACGTGCATCCCAGCAGCCGCTGGAGGGTACGCGCCCATGCGTCCGCCCTCGCACGGCAGCCAGCGTCGCACTTCAGCGACGGCAAAGAGGTCCTCCTCGTAGCTGTCGTCGTCCGGCGTGAGGGTGCACGCCAGGCTCGAGCCGTCGGGCGCGAGCACCACCAAGCGCTCGTGCCACACGTTAGCGTACCCAACGTACTCGACCAGGATGAAATCCCCTTCCTGCAGGCCCAGGGCGGCGATCGGATGCCGTGCAGCGGCCGCTGCCGCCATGCTAGCGGGTCAGCTGGGGCCTCGAGGCTCGCAGAGCTGCCACCTGAGCCGCCGCCAGCTGCGCCGCTGAGGCCGGCGCCTCCAAGGCCGCCGCGGGCGCCCGCGCGGGGACGTCCGCCGACGCAGGGGCCCCTGATGTCGCGGGAGCGGCCCGCCTACCAGAGGCCCAGCCAGCGGCGCCCACCGCGGCAAGGCTGGCCAGCCACGCAAGGCTAGCACCCAGCAGCTCGGGCCGCGGGACCTCCGACACTGAGCCGCCTGGGCACGCCAGCCGCGGCTCGCAGGTGCAGGTGCAGGGCGGGCACGGAGGCGGGGCGGGGCACGCTGGGCACTGCGCACCCCAGGCGGCGCCCCAGGCCGCCGCGCCAGCGGCGAACCCCCGCGTCGCCTCGCGGAGGATGAGGCCACCGGGGTCCATCCACGGCCCGCCCCCTCCGCTCGGAAGCCCCTGGGGCCTCGGAGCTTGAGCAGTACGGCCGCGAAGAACGCGGTGCGGCCGCCTGCCCGCTCCCCTCCTCGCTTCACGATGTAAAATCTACCATCTATATATATATATATATATGGTATATATATATATATATATATACATACATATACATATACATATACATATACATACATAGTACACACCTAGAGAACACCCACGTCACAAGGGCCTCCCGCCGACTCCGCCGCATTCCTCCATCATCTCCATTCCCATTTTCCGGCTTCGTCCTTCTTGCCAAGTGGTCGCAGCAACGGGGTGGAAACAAAATGAAAATGACCCCCCGCCGACTGGGAAATCGAGTTCGGTTTCGATATCACGCGTGCGAACGAAGCGGAGGTGCGCAAGGCCGGGGGTGATTGATCCTGCCCTGCCTCGGACCAGGGCCAAGGTCGCGCCACAATACGTCACGTGGGCTGGGGCGTGCGCGGGGTTACCCCGCGGTTGTCCTGTGGTTGTCCCGTGGTTGTCCCGTGGCGTGCCCGTGGTTGTCCCGTGGCTGTCCCACCTGTAGATAAATAGATCGTGAAACCGACATATGGATAGTGAGATCGATGCACGGATTGATCATGATGCTAGAGAATCGATACTGGGACTGGTGAAACGTTGGATGGATAGACAAACTGATCGTGATATCGGCGGATAAATGTTGGGACTGGTGCACCGTGAAACTGAAGGACAAATTAAAGATGGTATCCGGGGGCTGTTAGTGAACCGATCAATATCTAGATCGGTGTGTCGTGATTGCCCTGTGTGTTGCCACGCGAATGTCTAATGGCTGCCCTGTGGATGTCCCGTGGTAGATATGTTATTGTCCCGTGGCTGTCCCGTCATTGTCCATGGTTGTCCCATGGTTATCTCAAAATTGTCCGGCGGTTGTCGCGCGGTTGTCCCGTGATTGCCCGTGGTCTCCCGCAGTTGGCCCGTGGTTGTCCCGCGATTCATTGTCCATGCTCCAAATGACTAGATAAGGGGGGCCGGTATGTCGACAACAGTGAGATCAATGGATATACAGATGGCGTAATCAATATAATGGCACATGATGAGACTGATCCATGGTGATGCTGATCGTCTTTGCATATCAGTCCCGAAGGATAGGTAGTGAGACGGATAAATACATAGATCGCTATCTAGATCTCGAGACCGCTCTACTGATATATCGCGAATACAAGCCGACGCCCATGGCGAACCGAAGCGCCCCTTCCCCCTGCAACCTCCAATCACCCGAAAGGCGTCTTCTCGGGATTCCCGACTCTCGGGGCAAGCTGCGACGCCTGCCATTCGGCATACTGCTGGCGACTCATCCATGTAGCCTGGATTGGAGACGCTTGCTCTCGGACGACGCAGCGGTCAGACTCCCGTCAACATCTGGCGCGTCTAACTGTCAGCGCGACCCCCAACTTCTGCCAGTCGTTTCGTGTTCCCCTTTCGAGGCACCTCCGCCGCCTTCTAGCACCCGGAGCATGCTGCAGGGATGTCCCTGTCTGAGGTAAGTGTCCTCCGGGTCTTTCAACAGGTGGCCTCCATCGGTGAACGTGGCCATCGCCCCGTCCACTTTCAAGGGACACGCAGAACGCTCGAACGTCCTGTTCTCCTCGCGCGCACGGCGGCACGCATGGCACACAGCAGGGCAATGCCCTGAGCCCTTCTTGAGGTAATGCTCCACGGCGCTCCTCGTCTGATGCTTGACGTCTGTGACAGTTGGCGCTTTTGCATCCGCTAGTTTCGAGCACGCAGAGCACGTGAGTGGCGCTACCTCGAGCTTATTCACCTCCGCGAGCACATCGTGGCACGCGCGGCACACTTCAGGGCGATGCCCCGACATATTTTTCGCGATGATACTCCACCTGGCTCTTCGACATATTGCGTGAGGTCCGTGAACGCTGGCCCCTTTCCATCGGAAAATTCCGGACATGCAGGGCACCTGGACGGCGTTTCCTCGACCGTCTTAGCCTCCACGCGCGTATCTTGGTACGCGCAGCACACACGCACACCAGCGCGGTGTCCTGATCCATTCTCGCGATGATGCCCCACTTGGCACTCGGCACTCCTAGCTCCAGACATGCACAGCACCTGAACGGCGTTTCCTTGAATGTCGAGCTTCAGGACGGATCACAAGACCCAAGCGGCCCCCACGACGGCGCCGGAGCCCCCCAATATGGCCCCAAGAAAGGCCCAGGAGTGTTTCATGAGGGGGAAATTGAAAAAGGCCTTGGAAACCTGTACCCCAATATAGCACCAAGAAGTCCCTAAGGCCCCCGAGAGGCCCCGAAGAGGACACGAAAGAAGCCCGCAAGAACCCCCAAGAGGCTTCGGAGACGCATCCCCAGAGACACTAAGAAGTATCCAGGAGGCATCTAGCCCAGAACCCAAGCATGGCAACGCCTCCTAACACGCACACACAGCCCATAGCAAACACTTTACCGAGACCCTCCCCAAGAGTTCCCCCTGCCCTGGGAACTTTCAGCGTCCTGCATGTATGGCTTCACTACACCGAGGGGTCGGCGGAGCGGCGTGAGCCAAATTATCAGTTACTTTCGCGTATGACACCTGCACAGCACGCAGCGAGTCTCTCTCATTATACGGATTCACGTAGAGCGGACCAGCCGAGTAGAACCCCTGGCCACACTGATTCGCTAGGCTCTGGCGCTGCAAGGCGTACGTCACCGGCAGTGTCCTGTCACACACGCCCCCGGGCATCAACAACTTCCCACAATATTCAATCGCGTTCACCAGTTTCCAAGCTGCTGCAGCAGGCAATCCGAGAGTGCCGTCAAACACCCCGTCGTTTACCAAACTACCGCACCTGGCGGGGTCGACCACGGCGCAGATCACCGCAATGCCCTCCCAGAGCTCGAAGAATTCGTGCGGCACCGCTTGCATTGACTTCACCTCGTGAGGCACTGTCTTTGTCGGGAGATCAAGTTCCCGCTTGATAGCGCTGTCCTGAGTGATGCCCAGGCTGACCTGAGGGGATACTGCGGACAGTGGGATTCAAAGACTGGTCCTACTCCTCTCCCCCTCCCACTCGGCGACGCCGTACTCCCCGAACGCACTGGCCAGCCTCTCCTCCTCAAACTATTCCTCCTCCTGGAACCTCCTCCACGTGCTTCCGTTGGGTGTAGGACACGTCCCTCTGGTTACGACCCAGTCGGGCAGCGGGGACAGCTATGCGGTGGGCGCGCTGTAACGGGCAGGGTTCGCCTCATGTCGGGCTTGTGTGGTCCTCTTGATGGTCTCCTGCTGCCCCTCTGGTCTCACCTCCTCAACCTGGGTGTGCAGTGCCTCTGCAGACGCACTGACATCCCCAGCACAACCCGGAGTGCTTCACGCTCTGAGGGCGCTCTGGCCGTCCGCGCCCCCTCCTCCCGCCTTCCCTCCCGCCTTTCCTTGCCGCCTTGGTGCCCAATTCGCACGGCAGCAGCCGTGCCGTAGCCACGACGACCACGTGGACCCAATGGGCCGCAGTGCAGAAACTATGCTACGAGAGTTCCCCACGTGAGGATGTTACGGGGCTAGCAGGATCAAAGGGGCACAACAGTGGTTAGGACAAAAAACATGACGTTCGGACATTGTCATGGAAGGGCCAACGGAAGCGAGGAGGTGAAGCAGCATGGACGGGGAGGATGGCTGTTCAGGACGCACCCCCTTCCTTTTGTACGGCAGGTCAAACACCTTGTAAATAGTGTGGCATTCCGATACCCTCCTCGCTCTGGCAGGGCCTCCCTGGAAGGGTGGGAGGGCCGCGAAACCTTGTGAATAGTATGGTTTTCCAATACCCTCCTCGCTCTGGCGGGGCCTCCCTGGAGGGGTGGGAGGGGCGCGAAACCTCGAACAGAGTATGGTCTTCCGATACCGGCCTCGCTCTGGCGGGGCCTCCCTGGAGCCGTGGGAGGGGCAGGAAGCGTTGTAACTAATGTAGTGGTAGGGAGTGGTAGCGGAAGGGGAAGGCAGAGGGAGGAGGAGGAGGAGGAGGAGGAGGAGGAGGAGGAGGTGGAGGAGAAGAGGGTGTTCTTGGAAAACATCCGCCCCGCTCAGGATGGTTGGGACAACTTTCCAGTCTGGTTCAGCAACAGATTCCTCGGCCATTCTCCCTGATGCCCAGGCTGACCTTTGCGGACAGCAGCCCCTCCCCCCCTCCACGTAAGGGAGTGGAAGCGTATGCTCCTGTCGCTGCTGCCTCTGCTCCTCCCCCCCTTGTCGTCGTCCTCTTCCTCCTCCTGCTGCGCCTCGTCCTTCTCCTCCCGCAGAGCTCCTCCTCATCTTCCGACCCCTCATCCTACTCCAGCTGTTCGTCCTCCTACCTCTCTGCCTGCTTCGCCTGACCATGCTGCCGATCCTACTTCTCCTCCTGCTCACCCCGCCCCAACGCCTCATCCTGACTGTCCAGCTTCTCCTCCTCCCGGAGATACGCAGGAAGAAACGCGACGAAGATGATTAGACATATGAGGAATAGAAAGAAGGTGAGGGAGGATTACGGAGAGGGGGATAACAACGAGGAGTAGGGGCTGATGGTTGATGAGTAATACGGGAAGGTAGATGACGGAGTGAGAGAAGGGCATTGCGGGATGACAACAATGAGAACTGAGGAAGAAGGGGTGGCTCAAGTCTGGCACGCCACTAAGCAGCAGAAGGCAAAGTATTGAGTCGAGGTCTTGGTGGACATGGCCGAGGTGGCCGCCAGGCCTGGTCAAGAGCCAACGAGCGACGAGCAGGTGCACAGGCCTCCTCGTGGCCGCTCGTCGGCAAACTCATCCTCCCCACCTCTATCCTTGTGTGTCCTCCTTCTTGTGCTTCTTAACTCGTGTTTGGGGGTGGGGGCAATGGATGAGGCTAACCCAAACCCCTTTCGGGGTGCCCCCTCTGGAGCTTCGGGAGGGGCATGGTCGTTTGTCGCTGTCGCTGGGTTCTCTTGGCTGTGCTCGGGTCGGCCATCCCCTGGGCCGTCTAGAATGCTTGGGGGCGGGAGTGCACACCCTCCCCGGGGCCATCACGCCACGGAGGCGGTTGGGGCTCCGGCTCTTTCCTCCGTGGGGGCTTCGGCTCCGGCTGGGGCTGCGGCTGGGGCTGCGGTGTCAGTCGCAGTGTCAGTCGCGGGTCCTGGGGGGCAGACCGGCGACTCGTTTGGCCAACGCGCGTCGGTGTCTGTGCCGAGTGTGGTCGGTGCTGAGGCGATGGTGTTGGTTGAAGGCCCTACGTTTCCTTCAGGTACAACGCGGTGTCAGGAACGTGCTCTTAGGATCCGGGCCAAGAAGCGGATCAAGAAGAAGAAGGCTTCTCGTGCCAAGCGGTGCTGTGCCATGCATAAACTTGCCGTGCTTCGGCGGGAGGGCCGTCGCCGGAGGGCTCACAGGGCTCCCACGGCATGGTTCTTCAGGGGTGGCACTTGGAATACAAGGAAGTTGGGGACGGAGCGGGGCAACGAGAGCCCGGCTATCAAGGTTGGTGTTTTCCTCTCCCTGCTCAACGGGAGGAAATGGGACTTTGCCTTGTTTTCTGATGTGAAGTTTACATGTAATGGGGTAAGGGAGTATGAGGAGGGGGGGAGGAAGTGGACTTTCATCATTAGGGGGAAGGTTTGTTAGGGCCATCCCTCAATGCCGCGTTTTTGCCGGTCGATGGCTCGGAAGCTGGCGGTGGTGATCCGCCTCCTGTGTTGTGTTCCTCCTCCTCTCGTGTGCAGGTGTTGTTTTTCTCCCCCCTCGTGGTGAGTGTCCTCCTCGTGTCGTTGTGTCTCCTGGTGGCTGCTCTGTGCCGGCGGCGATCCTCGACAGTTCGACCGCGGGGGCGGCTGGTGGTTCTACAGTTCCGCCGAGCCGGCCTGTCTCATCTGGGGACAGGTCAAAGCCGCCCCCAAGCCCTTACAGCCGGGGCAGAGTATCGTTGTTGTGTCTCTCGGAGGAGGTGGTGTGTGTTGTCTGTGCGTGTTTGTGTGTGTGTGTGTGCTTGTGTCTCCCCTCCTCTGTTCTCCCCTCTCGGTGGTGGTGGTTGGTCCCCGGTCCCCCGCCCTTTCCCTTCCTCCCTCGTCCTTCTCTCCCTCCCGTCCTTCCTCCCCTTCCCCCGCCTGCTTCCTCTTTCCCTCCCTCGTCCCCCCCTCCCCTCCCTTCCCGTCCAACCACCACTTGTGCTTTTGTCATTCTCTGTGTGCTGCTGCGCGCGAACGCAGCCCCATGTGACACATTGTTTGTGACACGGCAGTCGCCCCAGCTCGAGCCCACGCGCCGCCCGTCCCACCCCGCGCTGCGATGGCGGCTGCTCGCCGTGCACAGATCGACCAGGCTCTCAACGATCACACCGATCGTATTGTTCAGCTCGAGCTGACGCAGCGCCGCCACTCTGCGGCTCTTGACGCCCTGTTGAAGAGCACGGTCCTGATCGTCGAGGGCTTTCCGCAAGCGGACGTCTTCTACCTGGGTAAAAAGGAGGCGGGGGCCTTCCGCGAGCTCAAGGAGGAGTGGCCCAACGTAGTGTGCAAGGAGGTTGCAGAGCGCCTCGACGTCACTTGGCCGCTCGACGACCAGATGGGCGGCGGCAATAATGAGCGCACCGAAGCTGTTCGCTGCCTGTACAGGGCCCTGTCAGCCCGCGGCTTGATAGTGGGTGTCTACGAGGAGCGGAAGTGGAGCGACGCGGCCGGCGGGGGCAGCGGTTGGCAGCGCCTTCCGGGGGTCTTCAAAACGAGGCTGCGGTTCTGCACAGAGTCGCTCCTCGTCCAGAGCGCGCTCGGGCCCTTGGACAAGCTGTTGAGGACGGCGTGTGGCCTGGACGTGGACGGCCGCCCCACGCGCGTGCAGGGCGTCGAGCCCCCCCCGCGGCGCCTCCTTTACTTGGAGCGCACGCCGGAGGAGCGGGGCAAGGGCAAGGGCGGAAAGGGCCCCAAGGGCGGCAAGGGCGACAAGGGGAAGGGCAAGGCCGGCAAGGGCGGCAAGGGCAAGGGCAAGGCCAAGGGCAAGAAGGGTGCGGGAGCAGGTGGCGTGATCCAGGGAGCGCGCCCGGCCGGCCACCTTGCGCGCCCGGCGGCGGCGGTGCCGCCGGCTGCCGCTCCTGCCGCCGACCCCGCGGACGGAGGTGCCGCCGCCCCGGCGGTGGCCGCCCCGGCGGACGCCGCTGGCGCCCCCCCGGCGGGGGGGCCCCAGTAGGCCTCCAAGCGCCACAGAGACATGCATGAGAATTCGGCTTAAAGGGCCGCAGAATTGGCTTAAAGGGCCCAGAGCATGGCGTGTGAATTCGGCTTAAAGGGCCCAGAGTCTCTGGTGAGTGCAAAGCATGGATACGAGCTTGGTCGACCTGTCGTGGACCTGTCAGCCTTGTACTTCATGTACGACTTTTTCAACATGCCGTGGAGCTCGGGCTGTGCTAAAAGGGGTGATCACTGTGACTCCTCTCCCGTCGCCGGCGTTTTGCTCGGACTCGGCTCGTTTATGCTCCCTGTCAAAACGTGTTTGTGTTTTTGTGGTGGTGTGTTCCTCTGGTTTGGGCTGTGTCGATGGTGTCGGTCCCTCTCCCCCCTCCCTCACCCTCCTCCCCCCTCATCGCCTTCTACTTGATCCTTAGGAGGCTCCCGCGTTCATCGTGAAGGCCCGGGAGTCGTACGCGGCTGTCGACCCGGAGGCGGAGGCGGAGGCGGAGGCGAGAGCCAACGAGCCGATGCTCGCAACGATCTGGGCCCAAATCGGGCCTGTGGTGACCTAGTGTTGCCAGGTACTTCTTACCATGGAAAGACAGCGCACGCACATTCAAACCTATAGGGAGGAAGGACGGGGAAGGGCAAGGAGATGAAGACGCTATGAATAAAGGTGCGGGTTATCTAATCCCGAGGCGGGCTCCCATCCAAGCGGGGACCCCCATCCGACAACACACACACCCATAGCCCCCACCTCCCACCCCCGGAATCCCAGGGCTAACATAGATATGAGTGCTAGTTATCAGCTCCAGATCTTAAAAGCACAATTGCTGCCGCCCCTTCCATCACGTCCCCCTTTCTCCCCCTTCCTCCCCCTCCCGCCTCCGCCTCCGCCTCCACATCCGCCTCCGCCTCCTCCTACTTGTCCTCCTCCTCCTCCTACTTCTCCTCCTCCTCCTCCTCTTCCCTCCTCCTCCTCCTCCTCATCCTTCTCCTCCTCCTCCTCCATCAACTATTAACCATTGTCCATATCTCTCTCATTCTCCCTCCCTCCCTCTCCTCCCTCCCTCATCCCTCCCCCCTCCCTCCTTCCCTCCATCGCCCGCCGCCTCCCTCCTGCTTCACCCCATTCTTCCTGCTCGTCCAAGCCTGTCATCATCTGCCATATTATCACTCCTCTTCCTCCTCCTCCCCCTCCTCAACCGTCTTCTGTCCGTCTTGTCCATCTTCCCCCCCTCCTCCTCCGCCTCCTCCTCCTCCTCCTCCTCCTCCAACCCCCCACTCCTCCTCTCCCTCTCCTACTCCACCTCCCCTGCGCTTCTTTTCCTTATGCAGAACTCTCCCCTGTCGCACCACCAGACGTGCCGGTAGGGCGGTACGGAAGCTTCGCGGGAGACTCCCTCACAATTTATAACCCTGAAGTTTGAGACTTCCTGCTGCTCCAAGTCTGGAGGGTGGATCCTTTGCGACATGGGGCTCTTGCTGTAGCACCGTGAGGAAGGGCGGTCAAAATCGCTTCGTGGGTGCTCGTCTGAAACATGAAAATCCAACGATGGATGGCAGACTCAGACCCTTTCCAAAATGGGCTCTCTTCTCAGCGCCGCGCACACCTAATATGATATAAAGCGGTGTCTGCGAGGCGGTCTTCCTGCCGCCAACAGCATAATCAACGAAAAACAGCGACAGTGAAACTCGCGGCAAGATGACACAAGACTCAAAGCCATTCCAACTGCGATACTGCTCCTCACACAGAACCAAATCAAGTCGAGCTTGCCCTTGAACCAAGCATGTGCTCGATCCACTCTATGCGATGGGAAAACCACGGTTCCCCGTCTTCCACCACGTCTGCCCGAGGGACAACTTGCAAGGATGCATGAGGCTCTCCCGTGAAACTTCGTGGAACTTTGACGACGCAGGCTCATCTGGTGCTCGTCTTTCAAGGGAGCGCTTCGTGTAAGGACATACGAGGGGGCTAAGGACGGAGAAAGGATTGCAACATGGTTTAGGCATCCGGTGATTACAATCGGAAATGTCGCGACGGCGGCCCCGGCGAGACGCTGTGCCCTGCGAGCGAAAAGCGTGTCGCTCCGTTCCGTGGGACAGGAGGCTGGGCAAAACTCGAGACGTCGACGCTCGGGGAATTGGGACCTGGACAGCGTGCCGCGCCGAAGCGTGGTGGACCAAAACCGGTGGCGCGACGTGCTAAGCCAAAACTCCTGACCGCACTCTGCCCTCCTCCTCATCCCTCGTCCCTCATTCTGTCGCGATGCCAGCTGATGTGTGGGCTCGCTTCCGCCACGCCCCTTCGGGCCGTTGTCAGCAGCTCCATCTGCGACAGCTGCAGCCTACAGCCCAGGTTCGCGCGGTCCGCAAGCGCCTCGTCGCGGCTCCAGAATAGATCCGCCTCCTCCTCCTCCTCCTCCCGCACGAGGGTCACCCTCTTCCCCCCTGCTCAGATTCTGGTCCCTCGTCCCTCCCGCCCTCTTTTCGCCTCCTTCCTTTCACTCCCCCATCATAGATGCTCTTCCTCTTCCTCCACCTTTTCTGCCTGCTCGTCCTCCTTTCACTACTGTTCCCTCCCAGGGTCCTCCTATCGCCTTTCCTCCCTCACTTTTCCTCGTCCTCCTTCCCCTTTTGCTCCTCCTTCTCTTCTTCCTCATCTTCTTCTCCTCGTCCCTCTCCCCATCATTTCCTCCCTTTCTCTCCAGTTCCTCCTCGTCCTCCTTCTTACACTCTTAGCATTCCTCCTCCTCCTCCTCCTCCTCCTCCTTCTCCTCCTCCTCCTCCTCCCCCTCATCCTCCTCATCCTTCGCTTTCTCTCCGAAAGGACGTGCTGGCATAACGAATTGCTTTGCCACGGCCAGCTGCGTTGTCTCTTGGCTTCGCTCAGTGCTGGAGGATCGGTCAAGATCAAGCCGAGCCATGTTGTTGATCGGTTTTGCGTGCTCTTCGGCACACTGGCGGGCAGTTGACACACCTCTTCGTTCGTCAGAGCTTGCGACTGTCGAGTGTTTTCTTGGAGGAGCTGGACATCAAGGTCGCGAGCTTATGGAGAGTTCAGTGAATCAGCGTCTGGGTTGAGAGATCGGGTGGGGGACACCTGCTTCGGCAACGCCGGCGTCCCCAGCAAGGTCGATTACAAATTTAGTCAAATGGCATAATTGGGATTGGCTTCGACGGTAAAGCCTTTTCGGCGAGTGATGCGTCTACACCCCGAGACTCCACCGAGACTACCTTGAGTCCACATATCTCACCATTGCAATCTGAATTGATCCGTCTTGCCGCTTGAGCAACTGACTCCGACTCGGGTACATTTGAACTTCGACACGATGAAAAACGCTGAGGCCAAACAGTCAAATGTTTCACATGTTTCTAATGATTTGTGAGAGTGGGGGCTGAGCTTGAACATCTGGCCAAGGCTGGCAGACCAAATGTTGCTCGGACTGTGCAACCTTTTTGCCGAAGAACAACCAACAGAAATGTTAAAGCGGAGCTTTGCTGAACGGTACGGAAACACGAGAAGAACAAACGCAAACACATAACGTTTTTCTTTCAAACAGGTCCAGTATCCGCGCTAACATGGCTGGCGCTTCCACGGAATTGGAGGAGGAGATGGTGGAGCAGCTTAAGCAAATTACCCATCAATGTCAGCAACTGAAAAAACAGCGGCTTAGGAGTTGGAGGATGAAAGCCTGGCGTAAACGACACGCGAAAGGGGCATATTATTTGTTCAAAGTACTAGCATGCCGTGGACGAGCCCCCCCGGGGTAGAAGTTAACATTTGGAGGGTGCGCCTCTTACTGCACAACAATGGCTGGAAGTGTGGGAGACTGAGGGGCCGCAGGGGGGCATGGAGGTGACGAGGGTGGTGGAAGAGCCCGAGGAGCAGCAGTTTTCTGGATATTATCGAGCTTTCAGCCTCGAAAACAACAGTGGGCACTCTAGTAGCAGGCAAGCGTTTATGAAGTGACCCAAGCATCGACCATGCCCACCGTGAAGGTGGAGCGTCCGTGAAGAAGTCTGGGACATGATTGCGGACCCATCTCTCTTTGAATACTGTTATGACATTGGCTACTCTGTGGAAGCTGTCGCTGAGCATGTGCAGGCCGTGCGGCAAGCTTGGCTTGCTGTTCATTTCTCGCGCATTTGGAACCGAAATTTTGGCTGCGACCTCCCGGAGAACCCTAATGCTGGTCCGAGGGCAACCGGGCCATCCATCTGTCGGACCCCCTGGGTAAGGCCTGGGCGGCAGGTGCCATCGATCGAATTCGACCCGCGGCCTGGGTCCCAACAAATACGGCTTCTGAGAAGGAAGGAGGGAGGAGGGAACTATGTTGGTGATGCTGTTGATGTCACATCGACTTCGGCTCAGTGGCTACAGCTTCTCAGGGTCCAACAAGGACCTCACTGATGCGCTTCCGTCGAACTCTTGGGATCTGCTGGAGGTGGCGAGCTCGGCTCTTTTACACCATCCGAGCAAAATCGAACACGGCTGTTTTCAATTTGCTGGTACTTCTTTCCCTACTCGGGATCGTGCACCTGCTGTTCGACCTAAGTGTGGAACACTCAGGGCCCTGATGCGGTTGAACGCTCTGGTGAAGCTTGTAAGTTTCCTGCTTGCGATTGGATAGGGAAGTTGCCCACAACGTTGAGCAATGATGATCTCTTAGTAGCGCAATGTCCGATCACAGGCATCATGGTAGATGTATGTCTGACAAACTATGCCCGCGATCTAGCCAAATTACACATCCATGGAGGCCCGTCTTCGGCTGTGATGGGTGCCGGCCTTGCCGAAGTGAGCTCGGGCGTGGGTATCTCATGAGTTGCTGGATGATGGGGGATTGGCACTGCACAGGAGAAGGCATAACACCATTGACTGCCTCGCTGCCCAAGGCTCGACGCGCAGAGGGGCCTCGACTATCAGAAGGTGGAGTGTCTCCGTCTGTGGGGGTGGGCGAGTATACTGTCTGCGGGATCCAGTGCGCCAGAGATGAAAAAGCGCCTGACCGAGATCAAATCGTCCTTTCACTCCCTGGGAAGATTCTGAAACACGCCTGGAGCTTCGTTCCGACTTCGTTGCCTGGCACTGCTGGGAGTTCAAAGCGGAGGTGATCAGGACTTAGAAGCGTTTCCCGTAGCCGAGGGACATGTAAGAAACTTGACTTACTTATGGCAAGCTGTTGTAGGATGGCTATGAGAGAGGCTAACTTCGAGGTGGGGGGGAGGTGAGCACATCGAAACACGAAATAACGAGCGGATCCTCCAGCACTGGAGAAGTTTGCCAGCCTTTCTTGAGATACGAACCCGCTACTTGGGCTGGCTGGTCCAGCTTGTACGTTCTCCGGAAAGTCACACGCCTGATGAACGGCCTCAGTTTGACTGCCTAGGGCGTCTCACCGAGTGTACCGATCCATGTGCGCGTCAGTTTTTTTCAGATGTACAGGCTCTTGCTGATACTGGGGAGGGGGATATACTCTTGATCTACTTCAGGGATCGTTCCTCGCACTGTCTGGGATAAGGAGTTGTGAATGCCGTTCTACCATCAGAGTTCTGCCTGCTGCATCGGCGTCTGCAGACCGTGGCGATCAAACATCCCGAATTCGATGGTCATCTTGGCAGCGTGCTTTCGACCGAGATCGTGCATAGCGGTGCTGTGAAGTGGGCGCCACGGATGTAGGGTATACGAACAGCGTCGTGATCCCGAGAAGTCAGTGGGCCGTGGTTGCAAAATTCAGCGATAAGGAGTCTGCGCTGAATCAATCACGACTTCATCATCAGAATCGGTGTCTGGGACATGTACTTCGTCGGTCTACACATTGTCCGAATTACCTCGAACTATTATCTAGCGCGGTGACGGCTAGGAGGCACCTTGTGGGTTATATGATACGGGAACATTCGTTATGTAGGGTTATGTAGGGGGTGAAAGAACTCTAGAGGCTCTACCTGTGCTCACGATCTCCAGTGCCCACTCTGTGAAAATCACGCGTGGGACTTGTCTGATGCCCAAGTAGACGTCCATAATCATTCACTCCCCTCGGGTGGCACATATCGTGAAACGAACACGTTCTCGTCTTCGTATCTGTCGGGCATCTGTTGCTACACGCGATGTCGAACACCAACCTTCCGAAGTGGATGGCGCGAGACGCCGCAGCACCAGCAGCACAGGATCCCCGGCGTCAGGCCTCTGGCGGCGGCGGCGGAGGCCCGAGGCGGTCAGAAGCCTTGGGCCCAACGCGCAGGCAAGAAGCACTCGATCGACGAACTCGTGGTGGTGCTGACCAAGCTGTTGTTCAGCGACGAGTTGGAACTGCAAGCGCTCATCGGCACAGTGCGTGACACTGGACAAGAAGACGGTTCAACGCATGCTGGAGGCAGATCAAGCTTTCAACGCGGAGGCTCAGCAGAAGACGCAGAAGGAGAAGGAAAAGCCAGCGGAGCGCGAGCCGCACCGCACACCGCAACTCAAACATCGAGGCAACGGTCATAATCTACAGTGCAAAGAGCGGCAGATGGTTTCCATGAGGAGACCGAAGACGAGAAAAAACAACGGAATTCAACCCTTAAGATAAACAAAAAACAAAACGTGAACTTACCAACTGATGGGACGGGGCCTCCACCGCGCAAGAACTGGCCGGAAAGAAAGGGAAAGGGCGAGGAATAAGAAAGGAGGGAAAGACGAGGGAGGACGCGAGGTGGAACTGTGTCCGCATGTTCAGAGATCAAGCTCAAGGCGGGAGGCCAAACATGGATCACCACAGAAATCCACCGTAATATTAATTGCCGACATGCCGACGACGTGAGTGGCGCGCGCGGTCGGGCCCCAGAGCTGCAATGCTCAGACTTGTTGGAGTTGAAAGGATAGTGGCTGACTGCAACTACCACTCAAAAGCGTCGGCGGCCCGTGCTGGAACGCGGATTGCCCCCAAGAGCAATCCCAATCGCCTCCGGTCGCAACAGCGTCGTTTCCCGCCACCCAATTTCCGCAAGGGCGCCTCGACACGGGCAGGGAACTCCCGGTTTTAAGCGGCGGTGCCACGCGGCGGCGGTCATGGGCCAGGGCCTGGGACGTACGCGATACCTTGAGGCGGCCGTTGCACGCGCGCATAACGTCCTTCGGAAGGTTTCCCGAAATACGATGCCCAGGGCCCTCCAGCCTGGAACCCGTGGACAGGGCCACTCCAATCTCGGGCCGCGGCGCGCTTACAAGCCAGGGCCTGAGAATGACGGGATGCCTTGAGGCGGCCGTTTTGCGCACGCAAAACGCATTCCTGAAGGTTTCCATCAGTTTTTCTCAAGGCCTGGTGCCCACGTCCTGGGAATCAGAGGCAGCAGCGTGGAATAGGGATTCCCCGCTGCAATGTCCCGGCGGAGAACCGC